TTCCCTTCCTTTCCTTTCCCTTCCTTTCCCTTCCCTTCCGTGCGGGCAGAGCCCCCGCCGCTCCCCCGGGCTCCCCGGCCGGCCCCGGGGCGGGCAGGGAGGGCTTGGGGTGCGCGGCTGCCAGCTCGGTGCGAGGTGGAATTTTAATCTGGTTCCAGGCAACAAATGTGATTAACCGGTCGATTCGCTTCCTTGCTGCTGTTTGGCATTCTCACAGTGAACATCTTTCCACCGTAGAAAAAGACACCAACGGAGATGCTTTGTGGGTTTGGTGTTATCCGTCCGTAACAGCTGAGCTGAGGAGTCTCTTGCTGAGAAAATGCTGCCTTACCGATGAAAATAATAAGTTGCTTCACACCTTTGTGTTTGGTCAGTATAAAAGATCATGGTTCTACATCACAACTGTAGAAGTGCAAGATTCTTCAGCCCTGAAAAAGGTAGGACTTTGCTATCATAGTGCTTCTTTTTTTCTTTTAATTTTCCTCTCCTCCAAGTCTTCACAGTCCACAAATAAGGAAGTTAAAGAATATGTCTGTTTACGGGCCTGCTAGACATGGATTTGTCAAATCTCTCCTGAATCTGTCACTATAATGTGCCTCCACAGCAGCTTTCCACGACAAATTCTAGAAATTTGATGCCCTCCCAGGTGGAGGGGAAACACTTGGATGTGTTTTGAAGTGATCTCCTGACATTATAGGAAACACAGTTCATTATATAATAAACTAGGCAAATACAGTGTATACTAGATCGGATTCAGTGGAAGTGAGTCACACCAGACGCTCTTAGCTAGATCTTTTCTGCGGTTAATAAACTGGATCTGCTGTTATAGCCAACTTTTTTTTTTCTTTTAATATTTGCAACATCTTGTCTGAATACTGCAGTAAATTCAAAAACGTGAACACCTCTGTTAATATGAACAAGTTGTGTGTTTTTTCTGTGTGTGTCTTGCTCAGGTGACCCACTTCTCTATTATCCTGACGGCCAAAGACTTTAACCCAGAGAAATATGCAGCCTTTACTAGGATACTGTGTAGGTCTGTATAAAAACTGTCTTCGAATGTTACTGTGTATGTAATTTGATCTTGTCATGCCAAAAGACTAATGCAACCTGTTACTTTCATTTAGTTTAACAATCTGCTGGAAATCCTGTCCTGCAGCCTGTGAATCAAACCGTATAAATTCTAGATTGGTAAATGATTTGATCTGGTGGCCTTGAGTTCATGCAGTAAGTTCTGGGAGAATGTCAGGTGCCCAGTGTGTTTTATCATATCAGAGGGCCTACCCTCTGCCACACATACGCATTTATTTTTTCAAAAGCACATTATTTTAAAATTACAAGCATTTGGGAAGAGGTCAGTGCTCTGTATGCATGGCAGGCAACTTGCATCCCTCCACACCGCTGCTCTGAACTAGATACAACCCCATGAACTTTTGACTTCTCTTTAAGACAGAGGGTCTTCTGCTTCTCCAGGTCTGTGGCTCTACTCCCTCCTTCCAACCAGGCTACCATCTTCCCCTCTGCTGCTCCCTACCCTGTTTGCTCACTTTCTTTCATGTGCTTGATCCCATGATCCCACTCTGCATCTTTTTTTTCTTCTTTCCCTTCAAATCATTTGGGTTCTGGCTCTTGGTATCAAGTGCATTGCCTGAAATATAGGAGCTGATTTGGTATGATTGTTAGGTTATTGTATCAAAAACTCAGGAAGGCCATCAAGTCAGGTTGAAAAACAGACTGTTCTGTTCTGCTGATGCCAAAATATTTAGGTTGCCTGTGGATCGCTTTCGCATTATTTTTTTTCCTTCAAATCCAGGATAAATTTGTAAATTTAAAAACAATAGTTGAGTTTCAGGCAAGACAAAGCTAAAATGAAAAGTTGATGAGTTCGTATTGGAAGATTTCCACTTCAGTATTTAAAGATCAACCAGATGCTTAAAAAAAGGATCCTTCCTAAAGATATTAGCTCAACCAGATCCTTAAAATAAGGATCTTTCCTAAAGATGGTGATAGATCTTTTCCTGTATTTGTTGATACTGGTTGCAGTCAGAATACCAGACTCTCTCTTTTTGTACAGAATCTACATGAAGCATGGGACCCCAGTTAAAATGATGGAGAGTTACATTGCAGTCCTTACAAAGGGGGTCTGCCAAAGTGAAGAAAATGGATCTTTTCTCAGCAAAGATTTTGATGCTCGGAAGGCTTATCTTGCTGGTTCCATCAAAGGTAGCTAATTTCAGAAATTTCTATTCTGATTTTGTTTGTACAATCTGTGAAACAAAACGTGTGTCCAACCATATAAAATATAATCCAGTGTTCATGTATTGTTCAAGTAAATAGTATGAACAGCACTATCAGTTACTACTACTAAGTTGCTTCAAAAACTATTCAAAATATTGGAATGTATATCCTATATAAAATATTTTTTCCCCTCTTTCCTAGATATAGTATCTCAGTTTGGAATGGAAACAGTTATCCTTTATACCGCATTGATGTTAAAGAAAAGAATTGTAGTATATCATCCTAGAGTAGAAGCAATCCAGGAGTTTACCAGGTACAGCTTAACTCTTTCAGTCTCTATCTCCTGTCTCCTTGCAAATGTCCAACAGATCTTGAACTTTCATTTAGAGAAATATGTATATTTAGGGAGAAATACAGTTAGTATTAATTTTATGTCTTATTGAAGTCTATTGAAAAACTCGGACAAATTTAACAGCGACTGAATGATAAACTGCTTGCACTGATGGCAGAAATCTCTGTGAACATATGTGCTGAGTGAGACCCAGTCATGTTTGTTCTTCCTTGTGACACAGGTTTCAGACTGTGAAACCTCTAATTAGTACAGGTGAAAATCTCCTATGTGTCAAATGCCAATCTCATTTCCTTAGGACTCTACCTGCTTTAGTCTGGCATCGACAAGACTGGTCAATTCTTCATTCATATGTACATCTAAATGAAGACGAAATAGAAGCCTTAAAAGCCTGCACAGGTAGATCTAATTTCTTTGTAAAAATATAAGTGAAATTTGACTTTCATTTTCATTGATGAAATATGTTGCTTCAACACTGTTTTAGGAAAAAAAAAGGCTATTTTGCCATTAAGGTGTTATTTAAAAAATAAAACACATTTTTCTTTAGAAAAAATAACAAATACTCTTCTCCGTCCCCTCCCTCCTTCCCCCCCAGAAAAATGTGTTGGAAGATCAATAGTTAATCCGTTGATTCTGAGTGGATTCTTGCCAGTCTGCACTTAATTGCAGATATAGTTATTACAACATGGAAAGCATTACTGTGTAGAAAGCGTCTTAGACACTGACTGTAGTGATCAGATGGATTAAAAGTCTTACAGACTTACAGAACCAACTCACTTTAGATAAACTCAGTTTAGATAAGCTATTTTTTTTAACCTTTTACATGGTTAATCGTGTTATTTTTAGGATATTTGTTCTTCATTCCTAACTCTGAAGTTAAACATTTTTGTTCTGACTGTTATCAGTGAAGTCTTTGGCTCCTAATTACAGGCAGACTTCAGCAGCTGTAGGAGTGTGATTTCCACATGTAACATCACTGCACATACAGTATTTAACCCTTAACCAAGGGCCTCTTCCTGCATTTATGCAAAGTTCAGTGTGACACATAATGTGTCAAATGAGAGATTATGCAGCATGAGGAGGAAGAAGGCTGCCCGGCTTCTGTATTCCTATTGCATTCCTACTGCTTGTTTCAGCTCATCAAGCATCTTCCACAGAAAAACTGCTCTAGATAAGAAAATTTGCTCATATTATTGCCCTGAAGTCACTCTAATACTGACTTGGGCAGCAGCACAAGGCTTCCAAATAGCACTTCCTTTAAAAAAGTTCATTAGATTATACATTTGCAAGCAGACAATCTAAGTGGCAAGAGTGTTTAAAATTTCAAAGTGAGAGCCTTTTGTATTGTCTGTAGTGTTCAGGATTCTTTGATGTCCAAAGCAACTTTAGAAGCTGATTTTTAAGTTCCTCAGAGATAAAGAGCTGATAGGTAAAGAGTTCCTCATCAAATGCCTGATGATATCAAGAGAGCAACTGCTTGTGTTCAGTCAAGTGCTCTAAAAATAGACTTTGGAACTGTAGCTTGCTCTCATCTATTGGTTTTGTTTTGCGTTCTTTGACTATGAAATTTTTGTTGTTGCCTGACTATCTTGACAAAACTCTGCAGGTTACATTGCTGGATTTACAGATTCTGAAGTGAGCAGTAGACCAGACCTCTACGATGTGTATGTGAATTTGGCAGACAGTGAGATCACTGTCTCCCCTGGAGTGAAAGGTTGGTTGTCAATGTTTAGAATTTGGGGGTGTTTGTTCAGCTTCAGGCTAGGTTCAGTACTTACTGTAACTCTCCAATAACTCTAGAATAATCTTGTACTTGGCAAAGTTGAAAGTGCAAGGTGTAAGCTTCTGTGATTCTTCTTTATTGAGACCTGTAAAGACTGGTGAAACTTGGAATTTGGACAGACATAGACAAAAAGAGTCATTTTACGGCATTTAAAAAGCTTCATTTTTGTTAAATTTCATTTTTCTTTAATGCAGAACACATCCTGGCATAGCTTCTCAATTCTGGCTATAAACCAGTTATATATTGCCATTGTAAGTTGTTAAATCTTTTCCTATAATTTCAAATATTGTCTTTAACTCAACAACAACAATAAAGGCTGAGAATATATAACCTCCATAGCAGTCAGTAAGACAAGCAGCCTTAATCCTTTTAAGGGAATATTTTCAAAGAACTTAATTGAGGGAAGTAGATGAGTTAGGGGTATTTTCTCATACAAATAATTCCCCTGTCCTTGGAAGAAAGATGCTACAAGTTTTAAATATTAGGTTCTCTGTCTTTGAAATAAAGATTGATTTATATGATTTTATTTTTTTCTACTCAGAGGCAATGACAATGGGAAAACTTCACAAAGAGATAGGACAACTAATTGTTCAGTCTGCAGAAGATCCAGATAAATCGGACAGCCAAGTCATTAAGGTCAGTATTTTTATCTACTTTTATCAGTAAAACTTAAGGGGGAGAGGAAGCCTAAGGAATATTGTCCCTAAGATCAACTGATTTTTCCTAATCTCTGCCCTATTGTAAATGAGTATTTTTATTCCTTGGACAGCTTTTAAGGATGATAATATTAAGTTTATATTGTCTGCTGGGTAATCACATTGCTGAAGAAATTCAGGAATTGCCCTGAATTTAAGACTTCCTGTAAAATTAGTTTCCCAGTTTTATCCTGCATCACACGTAGTTTGCTCAAAACCTTGTCAACCTTGGAACATGCCCTGCTGAGATGGGGCTTCCCAGCTATAAAGTCTGTTTTCTGCAGCGATGCTTTTTCACTTCCTACCCAGCTAATGGATTCTTTTAGACATTTCACAGCTGAGCAGCTTAGACAAAGAGCTCAGACAAGTGATAGGGGCCTGCAGAGCTGCATCTTTATTCAGTATTGCACAAAAGCCAACTGAAGAGCTATTGCAAAATTTCCATAAAATAAATAGACTCCTTAACTTGAACCTGTTATTTACCATTATTTTCTTTTTGTTCTTAAATGTTAAAAATAATTAGATGTTAAAATGTTGTAATACTTCATGCTGTATTCATGCTTGTTTTCCTGTTCTTCAAGGATATTTCACTGAAGACAAAAGAAATCTTGACTACTTTAGCATCACTCACAGAAGTTTCTGATGGCAGTGATAAACCAACCCTTAACTCTGAGGCACTGAAACAAAAACGATTTCCACCAGCTACAGAAAACTTCCTTTTTCATTTAGCAGCTGCTGAACAAATGCTGAAAATCTGATTTTGATGCACTTCAGTGTTATGGACCAATATGAAAATACTGTTATTGCCATACAAATCGGAATATCTAAATTTTATATGGAAAAATTAAAGGTATAAGAGTGAATGTCATATTTACCATGATATAATGCAGAATATCAGAGCTTGATCTGGGGTATTTCATCTTTGGGAACATTCCTGGTGTCCTTGCCTTTTCCTGACCATAACTTTGTACACATGTGGCTCCCATATTTCATATTCTAGCAGCGTGGCTCCGTGTGCCCAGCTGGGCCAGACGTTACCGTGGCCGTTGGCCCTGCAGGTTTCAGGAGCTGGGTGGTTCTGTCATTGCTCGAATGTGGCTTCCCGGTGTCTGGAATGCCGGGCTCCGTGTGCTGGAAGCAGGGCAGTTTGGACAGGCTCGTTGCTGGGCAGGGAGCCACCAAACGTGGAGCTGGTGCAAGACGCAGCTCTTGCTCAGAACTGCCTCATGTCTGGAAAACCCAAACAAATGGAGAAGTTCTCTTTTTTCTATTTGAAAGTACTTCATTTTTTTTTTTTAAAAAAGGATCTTTGGGAAAACGTGTCATGGCAGCCTTATGATGTAAAGGAAGGATTTGAATGTTCAAGCCGGAGTTGAGCACCTCTTTTGGGCTCTTGCCTTAGAAATTCCCCCTCTCCCCACTTTTCACTCCATCCCCTGCCTCTGGTGAAGGGAGAGATGGGAATACTGGGGTTTCCAGGGGGGCTGTGGACAACGGCTGCTTCACAGCTGGAGCCACAGAAGGGGCTGTTGGGGCTCTCAGTTGAGAAGCCCACATAAACAGCAGTGAAAACTCGGAAATAGTTTAGATATAATTAGAATATGCCTATGTGTTGGACTGGATAGCCATAACAACACATTTTTTCCATTAGACAACCTAAAACTAACTGCTTTGTAATCGGGGAAGACCTTAAATCCTTTGTAGGCAAATACTGAGCCAAACAACCTGTATTTCTTCAGAAATATCCACAAAAGTCAGTCAATTCTGCAGTAGCACTTTGTTATATGAAAAAAATAACCCTTTTCCTGGCCTTTGTACAGATAAGCTGCAGCATGTGGTTTTACATAGAGATTTTATACTTACGATTAAAACTTTAGTAATCAATATTTATATTGTTAAATAATTGGATGTTTGCTATTCTGAAGTTGTTAGAGTTCATCACTAACTATGTACAAGCAATATTAGGTTGGGAAAGGGTCGTCCTTTTGCTCTGTATCATACCTTAGGGAAATCTGTTTTACAGTGTGGATGAGAAATGTTGCAACTCAGTATACAATGTCTAGTTGTTACAGTGAGTAAACAAAAGCCCATCAAAATACCCCCTATTTTCAGGGGTGTGTAATTCTACTTTAAACATCCACTGAACAGAGAATTGTGTACTTGGGGAGGGATTGTTTTTTGTTTTGTTTTGCTTTTTTTTTTTTCCTAAGAAAAATACTGCAATTGCCTTCATTTGCCTCTAAGTGCTCTGCAGCTTTCTCCCAGTTTACATATTATTATTTTTCTCCTCGATGGTTCTTCCGGGTTGCTGTCTGTGTTTCAGGACGTTGTAACAGTCAGGAGGAAAATACTGCAGGAAAATCTTATGCGGGAAGGTCCGTCCAGGGCCTATTCCAACGTCTGCTGAAAGACAAGTCATTCATTAGGAGGAAGGTGCTTTGTATCAGATGTGTTAATGCCACGTGGTTTCTGTGAAGAAACTCACATAGTTTCTTTTGAACAAAAAGCCTTGGGTATTTAATTAGGGTAGCACGGCTGTTAAAGACAATCACAAAAAGCAGAGAAGCTCAGTTACAAACTACAGGTCCAATATTTATTTATTTGGCTTTGTTTTGGGATCTTTTAAGTTGCAAATCATCTCAGTATTGTATTGTGTTAGAATACAAGATCTAACATTCATGTGAAAACAAATCCAATTTTGCACTTAAGGAACTGCACTCATAGCATGCTTATGCCTATTAAAGAAAATCCTGAACAGCCAACCCATGTGTTTTTTTTTTCCCTTGAGTAGCTGTGGCCACTGAGTCACAAGACTAGACCTTATGTTGTGCAATACTGGGATCTGAAAGCGAGCCACAGCTTCACACGTTCAAACAAGGTTTGTCCTCTGTGCTCACAGTGAAAGAAATATCAGCCCCCCTCAAGGTCAGTACTTTTAATGGATTGTTCTAATGGTTTTGCACTTTTTTAATGACTTGTGATAGTGTTTCACCTCAATAGGGGGTTTAGAATAAGGGGCTGGCGATGGATGGTTGAGCGTGTGAGGAGAAGGCAGCTGATGTCCTGCCTTCATCCACCCGGGATGCGGCCTCCCCGGATAACCGTGTGTGCACAAGGTCCAGGGAGGAAATGCTGTGACCTGGGGATTCCCTAACGGGAGTTACTGATTTCTTATTAAGTCCCATTAAAAGGACATTGAACTTAAAGATGTCAAGCTGGGGAGGTGAGGAAGTGTTAGCGTATTGCATTGTACAGGGACTTAGGTTTTCCTGGAAGCTGAAAGCCTTAAAACTACTGTAAATTGCCTTGAAACTACTGTAAATCATAGAATCCCAGGTTAAGGTTGGAAGGGACCTCTAGAGACGATCTAGTCAAATCTCCTTAAACTGGTTTGACTGCTCATTCACTATCACTCCATACAGCACAGCCAGTGCTCAGGGCAGAACACAGAGCCGTCTTGGTGCCGCCTCGTTCATCATGCACTCTACGCTGTGAAGGGCAGAGTTTCTTTGGGGGCACTGACTTTCCTTGCCAGTCCCTGACGCTTTCCTTCCTGCCCCATCTTCGTCCCCTCACTTAGGACAGATTCTCATCCTTCTGCACTGCCAGGTCCAGGCAGTTCTAGGCTCACAACTTCTTTTATTTCAAAACCAAGGAGGCCAGGGCACGTTTAGTGATGTGTGACCCCTTCCTTGATCTAGGAAAGAGCTGAACCAGCCAGGCTGACACGGCAGACATGGGCCCGAGGTTCCGCTGGAAAACTGGTCAGGGCAGCAGAAATGTTTCTGAGAACAGGCAAAGGAGAGACACGTTTAGCAACCCTGAGAGGGCCACGTTTAACATGGCAAATTCCAACTAGAGTATTCAGTAAGCAGCAGTGGAGTTTGATAAGGGACAGCTGTAATAACACCAGATTACCAGCTTTACTCCCTAAGCCTTGATCACAGAGACGTAATAGCATCTGTTTGTCTAAAACATCCAGGTGCGGTACCAGAGCATTTATAACTTTCCTAGTTACAGTTGGAAGTTGATGAACATCTTATCTTCAAGTTTGCTGGCCCTGCTCTAGTGTTAGCTTTCTTTGCTTTGCTTCCAACGTAGTTCATGCCATAGCATTTACTTAAGGCAATCTTCAGTAATGTAGAACAGGTGAGAGAGTTTGAGGATAAAGGTAGATCTCCCTTGTAGCGACAAATGCATTTATCAAGAGTGGACCCTGTCTGACTGTGCCTTTGGTATGTTACCAGAACAGGATTAGTAGAGGGTTCCAGGCAGGAACCCTCGTGCCCTGTGTCCCACAGCGGTCAGAGGAGGGAAACTAAGGGAAAAGAAGAGGGCAAGGCACCTTCTTCCTAGTGTCCTCCAGCTCAGGGCCACGGAGCCCGATGTCCCCTCTTCTTTGTGTATCGGGACGTTTGTCGAGGCCAACCTTGTACTGCCCCTTAGCAGCTGCTTTCAGGCAGATAGGACATGACTGGTTCCTTAAGCACAGTCTCACCCCTGTGGGTCAGGGCTAAGTAATCCCTGCCGAGTCATCAGGCGTCACTGGTGACCTTGGACATTGCAGTGAGCTTTATTGGCCTCCCTGTTAGCTAATTTCCATCATGTTTCACACAGGGAAGCTGCTGCCGGGTCAGATGGGGCTTGTTTTTTCCCTTCCCCTACATGAAGTGTTCGATTCTGGGGAATTATGTAATACCGGCTTAAAAATTAGCAACCATCTTCTGTTAGAGCAGCACAAACCCTCTTCAACCGAGGTCCGACAGGCTAGATATCCATGGATATGTTCCAGGGAGCTGTCTCCCTGGAACAGCTCCACCTCATGCTGCCCTAAAACCCAGCTCCAGCGCTGTGCTCCGCTCCCTGCTGCAGCAGGGGAAGGAGCTAACTCCAAACCCAACTTCCTGCTTTTGTGTGGTGCCAACAACACAGCAGGAACTGCTTTCCTGCATGTGACTGCGCCTGTTTTGCCTTACTTTGCTCTGTTCTGCTGTCTTCCTGTATGCATGGAGAGGAATGGGAAATTGTTGGTTTCCTCATACCACAGACAGAAATTGAAATCCTCCAGCTATGGGATTGCAGTGAGCTGTTCGCTGCACTCTTTAAGAAAGAGAAATAAAAACAGGCTTTAGAGGTTGTACCTGTAAAATTATTTCTGTGGAAATGGTTATTATATTATTTAGTCTATATCCTTGTCACACAGAGCCTTAGGAATATTACACGTAACATCTCTAGTGATCTTAGAGCAATTTCTCCTGTGATCTGCCTACAGTTATCACGACAGGATGTCCTACCTCAGATGTGAAGCTTCCTTCTATCTTGTTCCCAGAACAACTATCTTTAACCAACATTACATTGTTATCGGGGTTGTTTTGTCTAATACCACTACATATTAAAGGCAAGCTTTCTGAGAAGAACCATAATAAGACTTTGTATTCAATTTTCACAGTCTTTTAATTAAGAAATCCGTCACATGAGGAAGTGTAACAAACACAGTTTGTGACACACACCCTGTTACTAAAATGTTTTCTGGTACAAATACCACTTACAGCATTAAGGTATGTGCTTGCCTTAATGTCTGTCTTTAATACCTGCCTGTTGGCTGGGACTTGCAAATATCAAATCTGTTTCTTGACCACATCATTGTGCACCAAACCCGATACGCATCCTCCAACTATGCTCATGATTTGATCAGTCAAGTATTCCGTTGAGTTTGTTGAGGCATTTGGAGCTCACTTTAACCAAAACACATATTTATAAATTAAAGCCAATCCTTAAATTCCTCTATTATAGAAAAATTCTGTTTCTTCTGTGGATGACAGAATTTCCGGTTCCAGATCTGCTCGTGTGATCTGAAATTTTTAGAAAACAGGAATCAGCAACACTGTATCCTGGTAACTAGATAAGTACACGTTATGTCTTCCATACATCAAACTTCATATTAGTCAAAACACTAGGTCTTTGGGTTTGTTTTTTGAGCAACTTTGAGCAATTGCAAATATAAATGCCACCCAATGTAAATCAAGTGTAACAAGTGCCATAGGTCTCTATATCATACCTAGGCCTCTCCAGAAGCCCATTTTAGGTACACTAACCACTCCAGTCCTACTGATTTTTGCTACCTGCTGTTCACAGTTACAGACTGGCTACTTATATAGTAATAATCCTAAAATCAGTTCTGGTAAAAGGACTTACCTTCCCACACTGTGGGAATATACTAAGTGAAACTGGTAGCATCCCTGCCAGTACTCCTGTAATCATCATCATTCTCATGGAAGCAAAAGCACGTGGAGTTTTTGCAAAGTTTGCTCTGTCAAAGACATGGAAAAGTAGGTTGGTTTTGGCTTGAAAATATTCTAACAAAATAAAGAATATTAGCCACTATTTTACTGGTTGAAACTGCACTAAAGTTAGCAATTCTAAAGGTGCTGCCTTATTTTATTTCCTAATTGTTTACTCAATTTCCTATTCTTTACCTTGGATTTCTTTAACTGCAGCACTTGCTGAGACCACAATGACAATACAAGATCGAGAATGTAAGAGCAATATCAAAATGATAAAAGAACAGAAGATTCTTTATTGCTTAAAAGTGTTTCAGTCCTTTAACTTAGATTTTTTGTTTATCACATTCTTTTTCCCTTAAAATTTAGTTCCTCTTGGGAGCCCTACTTATAATCATGCACAAAATTATTTGAATTTAAAAAATACTTTCTGTATTTTTTAAGCTCATCTTGCATCTACATTTATGTTTTCTGGTAAGAGGATTCTCTAAATCTAAGTAAATGAGATATGTGATCCCCATCAAAAGCTGAAAGCAGGCTAAAAACTCTCTGATAAAACATACAGTGAATTCTTCTTAGCTTTTTTTTTTTTTCCTAAACATTGCAAAAGCATTAAAATGTTTTGTAAAGTATGGCAGACTATTTGGGAGCTGAGGTCCAATGCTATCAGAAATTCACTTAGATATAAGTGAATTAAACTGAATAAAAACCTCCCAAATAATTTCTACCAAGGTGAGAAATAATGCAAAAGTATGAAAAAGGGCAAATGGTAATGGCAAGACTAAATACCAGAATACCCACTAACCAGGCACCCCCAAACCTACCGTAATGCCTCTTACCTCTCCACAAAGTACATGAACACAGCTGGCAGGAAGAAGGATGTCCCAAACAAGGCTGCTCTTGACAAAGCTGTTTCTCTTACAGCCTCCAAAGAAGGAGAAAAATAAATGTTTTTCAGAACAGTGCTCCCTGCCGCTCCAAATACTGCCTGTTTCTGGGAGAACTTTTTTGTTTAATACTCTGGAGTTTCAGGCAATAGGTAAGTGAAGGATGAAAATATTTGTTAGGTTTCTTTTGTAAAGGGAAACTGAACTCCTTCATTTGCCAGATATTCCAGTTATGATTAACAAATGCCTTAAAAGGGAGGTGATACTACTGCGGCCCCACCAAGGTTTCCTACCATGATAATTTTGCTGAGATCTGTCTTGGTTGGGTTGCCAACCTTGGGAGACACAAGACAGGCCCCAACCTGCATCGAGACCTGGTCTAAGTCTACCCAAAGATTCAGCACCTGATTTGGGATTAACACTCAGTGGTTCCTCATTTCAGGAAATCCAACTCTACCTACTCTCAGCTCTTTGCCAGGCAAGTCAAGAAAGGCCCCCCTCTTTGCCTACCTTCTCACCAGCATTCTTCGATACTCCTACAACTTGGCCATTCCTGTCCATCACTTCAATCCCATTCTCAAATTCTGGACTTCTCACAATCGCCACAGTAAGTGCACTCATCAAGCCTGCAGAATTAAAGAGGATGTTGCTTTAAAAGATGCTTGATCTAGCAAGACCATCTCAGTTATGGCCTTCATAATTATGTCCATTGAAACATCCAGTTTAACAGTTCACAACTGAGGATCCAGGCAGCTGAAGAGACTGACCCTAAAAATCTACCTGGGATCTTAATACTTCCTTCAGAGCTTGAAATAGATGTTAAGGCCCCAACCCCAGAAGCTGCTTTATTAGTATGGACACTCAGAGCTTTCTTCAAACCAAGAGTACATTGTTCTTAAGAGAAAGCGGGGCGGGTTGTATTCTGCATAGAATTCAGTACAAAAGAAAAAGAAGTGAATAAGACTTGAGATAGAGGTTGCATCCTTGATTTGGAAGGGCAGTGCCAGGGGAACACTGACTGCAGCCCATTCCGTGACCGTGTTTCTCTGCCCAGCCCAAGGCCTCGGTGACAAGTGGCAGCTGCAGCTGGATCTGCTCCAGCACGGGAACATTTCAGCCTCCTTCAGGCACCCGCAAAACATCTACCCCACAGTCACTACAGTCATGAGCCTGGATTCCCCACACACATAAAGGCCATATTGAGTGGGAGTTCTTAATTCAGCTGTTTTCATCCTTTCTTTTTTTTTCTGGACCAACATCCAGACATAACAGAGCATTGCCTGTTAAGCGGATCTCTCTGAAAAAGACAGATTTCTTTTTGTTTCTTTTGGGCAGTGTATCAACATATCAGTGTAACAACATATGACAATTTTCAAATGCTAGACTAATATGAATCAGTTACCTCCAGTTTCTCTCTCGACTTAAGAAAATGGAAGTACATTCTAACATTTGTTCTAGGGGAAACAAGTCCGTGAGTTTTTATGCAGATCCTCAGAGAGGTTTAGGTAGCCATCTCACATACCTTGGAATAGACAAGACGAAATTTTACCAGTTTCCCCCCAGAAAAGACCAAGATTTCCTCTTAATGACAATAGGGAAATACTTATCAACACTACCATCAATTTACTGAAGTCCAGTGAATGATCACAAAAGTGATTAAGGACATATGAGAATTTCTCATATGGGAAGAGGCAGAGAGCTGGGACTGCTTAACTAGACTCCATCCTTGGATATATTCAAACCTGCCTGGACATTGCATTGGGCATCCTGCTCGAGCTCAGCCTACTTGAGCAGGAGAGGTTAAACTAGTTTAACTAGTTAGAGAGTAAGCTAGTTGATCTCCAGAGGCGCCTTCCAACCTCAACCATTATGTGAGAAACTTATCCTGGTGCAGTTTCATCGTGTCAGAAGAACTGAGCCCCATTTTCTTGCAAGGTTAATAATATTCTGATTTAGCAGCTCTCATGTACTCGCTCCTGTTGGCAGTAACACAGCCAGCAGCAGCCAAAGCCCGAACAAGGACCGATGGCAGCGCACGGCTCTGCACGGCTCGGGCTATGGTGTTGCATATACACCAAGTAGATGGTATCACTAGTAGTGACACTGCCCTTCTCATCTCTCCGGGCAGTCTTGGTGGTTTTGAGATAACGTGTGAGTTCACCCAGCCAAAGAAAAACAACTGCATCCCTGATTTCTTTATGAGAAACAGTCGTACGTCATGTATACAAGCCCTGCAGCTTTAAAATTAAAAACCAGCAAGCACCAAATCACACTGACCAGCATTAATTCTCAAGCAGAAAGGAGAGTACCCAGCAAAGGCAGCTGGAGAGGAAGGCCAGTGAACAGTGAAGACCACGTGTGCAAGGGCAAGAGGATTCAACAGCCATGCAGGACAGCAAGTGACCCTCAGACCAGCTGCTGCTTCCTACTCACCCAGCAAAGGAGCATGTAGAAGTTTTCTGACAACCAGTTCTGTTAGGGGACTCTTCAGCGTGTACCGATTCATGAAGAAGACAGGAAAAGCCTAAGGCATTGGGAGGAAACAGGCATCCTCTATTAAAAAAAATATAAAATATTTCAACATATGCTAGAGTTTAGGAAAAGGAGTCTACAACTTAGTACTTAAGATAAGTAAACAAGTGCCTTGGTTTAACAATTCAGAGAAACGCATATGTTCTCTACTTACTGTGAGAAGTTTTGTAATCACTGTTTTCATGAGAATAGGAATTTATATAGCAAAAAAAAAGTATTGAAGACTACTATGTAGTGGCCAGTAATAGTACATATGCTAAGACAGAACAATTGCCTCTCACTATGCCCCCTTGGCTACCCATTCAACTGCTCCTACAGTGTGTGTGCTACTTTCTTCCCTAAATCAGATACGCAGTGCACTTGGCAATCCACATTTCTCCTACCTGGTACTTTCCGTCCTGTTCTGTATTCCCACCACACACTCCCTGGAAGTTTTATTTAGGAATAAATGGCCAGGACACCAGCTACAGCTCAGCTTCCCTTAGAGGACAAGGGGGAAGAACATTTACTGTGGGCACAGCTGCCCCCCAGCCCTCTACTAACCTCGAGTGCTACCGGCCTGACTGCTTTGCCCAGTGGAAAGAGGAGAAAGCCCAGCTAGCTAATGCAGGAATGTCCACATTTTCTGGGAGAAGAGCATAGTTTGACGTGGGGAGTAAGGATATGCACTGCAGGGACATCAACAACCACAATGCAGTATCAGAGTAAGCTCTGGTATCCTCATGCTATGGCAAACTCTGGAAACCACACAGCTATTTCTCTATAAAAGCTAATTAATCTGCACCCAGTGTAACATTTGGGCTGGTTCTGGGATTTAAGCTATCTCCACCCAGCACAGCAGTGTGCAGCCCTCATCTCTTGATGCTGCACTAACTCTTCTGAGTTAGTCAGATCTCTTCCAAAGATCAAAGAGCAACTACAGTGAGTTATTCTGTTTATAAATACTGATCATTTCCCCTCATGACCCATTTTCTAAGCTTGCAAAATAATAAAGAAAAGGACCCAAAAGAAAGCAGCAGAGGAATTGGCTGAGACTGGTCAGTCCCATACTCATCAGTATAGTTGAGTATACTCAGTACACTCAACAGCTCTGGGGATACATCAGAGTAGGGCATGAAGAGCACAACCCTGAGGGATATTTGGCAGTTTGACTGCCTCAGGGCTGTCTCCTTGTCAGCATATCAAGAAAACAAGCACTGAGCAAATACATACGCCTATACATGCTGCATAGGAGACCGCTCCCAAGCTGAGGAAGACTTGCTTTTGTTCAACAGAGTACTCCTAAAAAGGACAGAGGACACATATGGTGTAAGTACACTTGTAAAACACATTCAAAATGTAACTGTACATTAAGATGATACTCAAAGTTAAAAATCAATACATACTTCAGACTTCACGGTGCCATTTCCATTGACTAGGGTGAATCCAGTAGTGTAAGTGTGAAGCAAAAACTGCAGAAAGGAGAGGCTATAAGCAAAAATGAATTTGGATTGGAGACTGAGATGTATAAATGCAAAATGGAAGAGAAAATTACCTGACAAAGAAATGCATTCTTTGCTTGCAGCGGAAGCGATGAAGCAATAACCTAAGAGGAAAACCCCATGGGAAAAATTATTTTTGATGAATCTAGGACTTGTGGTTGGCAGTGGTTAGTTGGAATTGCCATGTTGCTATCTGCAGCACTGCTGAAGGCTGCAGACCACACCAGAGGCTGTTGGCCTTGGTTCTAGCTAACACAGAAGAACCTCCTTGTCACAAATGTGACATATTCCCTTTCTCTATCCAATATATAACACAAAGACACAGTTATTAGAACATTGTATGCAATAATAGATGGACAATATGCTCTTTTACTCAAACAAAAAAAATGCATTAAATAGATGCAACAGAATAACTTGGTAGAAATAATGAGTAAGGGTCACAGTTTTGACTGGTAGGCATAGACACTAGAGCTAATTAATGCAAGATCTGAGATTTTAGTAATTACTTCCCAAGTCCTAGCCTAGTTCAGACAGTGAATAACAACTCCAGCTACAAACTACGTCCCCCTGGAAGCCTCCCAAGACACTTTCACCTCAAGGTGTGCAGCATTTTCAAACAACAAAGTCAACTAAGACACGGCAAACATGGCGTAAATGAAGGGCAGGGAATGTGCAAAGCCTAGAGAACTATCAGCAACTCATTACTAGAGCATCACATTACCCCCAGTATTAATGCCAGGGATTAATCTAACCATAACTATGAAATATTTCATTTAATTCTATTGCTGTTCTTAATGTAATGGCCATCCAGATTTTCATAATACTTTCTAGCAGTGCCACAGATTCATGTAGTAGCCTATATGCATGAAATTAAACAACTCAGTATGAATACTCATGTCAAAGTCTGTGTGCTTGACATCTAAATGCATAAATGTGCATATACATAGTTAGAAATATTAATCAAACAAAATTGTGCAATGTAGATCGATATTTATAAAAACTGTAACAAGAATTTATTTTCATATCTTTTGTCATTTCTTAACAAAACCATTTTTAGGGGCAAATATACAGAGGAAATTCATGTTTTGGCTCTGAACAACAGCGCAGTAGGCTCTGACTCTTGCCAAATACAGTCTCATTTTTACCTCCTGAGTCTAAACCCAAAACGAGCCTTGCTCTCAATGATCAATTAATTTCAGGATTATACATATAAAAACTGATCTTCATGCAAGAACAGTCTGTCCAAACACTGCTGAACGTAGCTAACAGTTTAGACATCTACTTCGATTCCTTAAGGATTCAATTCCTAAAAAGTTCCTCAGCCTTTCCCAAAACCCACAGTTCTTCTAAAAAAAATGTGCTGAAAATACAATTGAGAAATCTAAATCCTCCAATTCCCTCTTTCCAAATGCTTTGAAAAAAAAAAACATAAGCCATATGACACACCAGCATCTTTCATCATTACTCACCAATGGAAGAGACACAGGCAGGAAGGCTAAAAAGAACAAAACTTTATTTCAGAAGCGTTAACTGAGTCTAGATTCATGGTTTTGACAGAACTCCCCCTAACTTCATCCTTCAAAACCCCACAAAACAGTACCATATGCAGGAGGTGCAATTCTGATCTTCCTTTCTCAAATCTTCATTCAAGAAATGAGAGCATCTGGCCCAGCTTATGGCCAAAGCAGCTCTCATGAACTCCACTCTGCAGGGCTCTTGGAAACCCTCTAACTGCGCTCTGAAGGGAACCGTTTCTTTTCCCTTCATTCAAAAGCAAAGATGCAGCAACGATGGCTGCCATATCTGCAAATGGTTACATAAAGTAACCACGATCCAAGGATGTTCTTGTCTGATCAACTCTGTACATCACCTTAAGCACAGTCTACCACAGCCATTAAATTCATATGGTAGCCATGTGCACCAAGGGACAACCTAGAATATCACAGACTGTTTTACTTGCGAGGGTATTTGGGTACTCATTATGTAGAGCCAAAAAATACCCACTGGACAGACCATTTCTGCCTGGTGGAGCAGGGGAACTGCAGGTAGATGAACTGCTCTTCCAGCTCCACTGTGAAAATAAGTCTTCAATAAAGAAGATAAATGCAAGGAACTGAAGTGAAAGTGCATACTGTTTTCCCTGCATGGGATGGGTATCACAGCAGTTATACACTACGAGCCATTCCCCTTTGATGCTTCAGTCACACACAGAAAAAACTCTCTTAAAGGAAATTACCTGGAGGTCTAAACAAAACTGGAATTATTTTGTCTGTATCCGGATGCACACTAGACTTGGGAAAAAAAATACAAAATAAAAGGAAAAAGGAAGAAAGGAAAGATTAGACCAGCATCTTTGCCATGCTTAAATAATAAAGAAAAATAATAGATGTGTAAACCACTTGTAAACTTACCAGGCTTAGCAGGAAGGCCTGTTTCATCTAAATAATTTGGAAAGTAGATTAGTAATCAAGTTGCAGAAGATACTGAAAAAACTTGTTTCTGAATTTATTATAGATATCATTTTTCCAATAATTCACATTTATATGGAGTACTATATGTATATAAATATATATTACATCCCCTTACATTATTTTACTCTGTGAATTTTTTCCCCACATACTCAAGGCTGAGTATAATTTATTCATATTCCATGTGCTGACTAACAGCACCAAATCACACACTACGGCAGAACAGAAAGCGATTTTTAAAAGTTAAGCTAGTATATAGAATATATAAATAGAAAACAACCAATTCTTAAATATGGCCAAATACCTAAAAACTGCAACAGCCAGAGTACTAAATGTCATGTGTTAGAGGTGAGTCCTGATGAAATCAAAAGAAGGAATACTCTAATGAAACAAGGATTTAGCACGATCTTCTGGCAATGCCCGGAGTGGGTTTCCCATCCAAGCTCTGCTACTCCCCAGTTTATGAGGTGTGGGACCCAATCAGCCTGCACTCTGTACAAAGGCACAACATGAAAAGTCTCAAATGAGCTCAGTATGGATTCTGCACATTTATCACTCACATGACCTGCACTGGCATCAGGCAGGCTCACAGCAACAATTACTAGACGGATTTGAGGGTTGCTTTTAAACCTAAGTGATGCCACATGCAAACAAGTATTTTTCATGATGACAAAACTGAAATTTGGCACTGAAGTTAGCAACCATCCAAGGAAATTCCTATCAGGTTCATAGATTAGAAATTTCTGTAGTAAGAAGTTTTTCTAGCGTTATCCCTTGTACCTGTATCTCCGTATTCTGCCTGCTGGATATTTCCAATATTACCTATTTCAGCCATGAAAGATACTAGTATTTTCTATAAACTGCACTCCAAAATACCTGATTGTAGTGAATGGGCTCATTTAGGGTCTTTCCGCTGCTTTGTATGGATAACCTGCTGCTTTCTATTTCTTTCTACATGTAGGAAAAAGAAGGAGAGAAAAAAAGAGTCAGATTTAAAAGCTTGTCAGATTTTAAAGCAGATTAAAAAAAATACACATACTCAAAGATAACAGTGGAAAAAGGAGGAGAGAAAAAAGAGTCAGATTTAAAAGCTCGTCAGATTTTAAAGCAGATTAAAAAATACACATACTCAAAGATAACAGAGTTGTAACCGTGCACAGCTTTCATTGTGGATAGCCTATGTAAAAGGCAGCTTCTCTCAGGAGAACCTGTGAGATTACCTGACTGTTCTTTGGGGAAGGTTTTCACTTGCAACAGTATATCTTAACTCAAGGAGATATGAATTAAGGACAGATCTCCAAGACAGGGAATGCATTATAAAAGTTTATTGGAAGTGTTTACTCATATATTTATTATTTATACATACACATGTGTATATACACATATGCCATATCCATGCATTTGTGCCTAAATATAGACAAACACACAACATACCGAGTGACAGAAATTCCCATTTGCACACACTTTGACTGTATTATTTTGCTTTAACTCTCTCCTCTTTAAAAACCTAACCAAAAACACTTTTAGCAAACCAATCAACCAACTCTCATATCGCATGCTATATTTTTCTCCTGTTTTCCCTGATTAAACTCCGCAGAACTACACAAAAACACCCCTTCCACGGGAGTTTGCTTTCACTTGACAATCCCTGAGGTTTAGAAACGTTAACTTTACGGCTGGAAGCGCGCTTGGGAGGTTGCACTGTGCACAGGAATTGCTGGAAATGGAGAAACTCTTGTGGTAGCGAAAGATGCTCG